ACTAAGCTCCATTTCATGCTGAATAAACTAAATTATTAATGTATCTTAAATAGAAAACTACTTTTAAATAGATTTGTACCTCAAAATCCTTTTATTAAAATAAATTTGATAAAAAATTAAATCAATCCAATTTAAATTTTAAAAAAAACCCAATTTAATTTTTTTTAAAAAACTAGTTTTGTTTTGTTTTTAAAAAAAAAACATCGCTTTTTATCCTCCCTGTTTCTGTTGTTTCAGAGAGCAGGTATGAAAAGGTGTTTTTATTTTACAGAATGGATAACATTGTAAGCCTCCCAGAATCACCTTGTGGTGACATGGTCAGCAAACAAAAAGGAAAGAGAGAAAGAGAAATAAGGAAGGAAAGAAGGATTGGTCTAAATTTAGAAAAATATTCCTTATAAAAAGTATTTTGATAATAGAACCAGTACAGGTTACCCAGTTGTAGGTACCTTCACTGAATGTGTTTGAGCAAAGCTAGAAAATCATCTGGCGCGGATGTTTTAATTCATTGTCCTCCTTGATGATGTTACCTAGTTTGGTAATGAGCCATCTGCAAGAAATCCAAGCTCAGAGTCCCATGGACCCCACGGTTCCACCCTGAGCTACAAATACTCTCTTCTATTGAATGCTTTAATTTGGAGTCTTAATTGGACTTGATAGACTGAGTGCTCCCTTCCTACAGTGTGATTATTTGAAATCTGCAGGGCGCCAGGTTGGGAAAGAATTTCTCTGTCTAATCGTATCATATGAACAAGCCTTATAATTTCATAAAAGAAAACAGAACCTCTTGTTGGTAAGTTCAGGCATATATCCTCGAGGAAACAAGGCATGCCACTGAGCAGGAAAAGGTTTTAATCAGATTTGAACAGACTCTGTCCAACTAAGTCTCTTAGGTAGGCTTCTGTGATATTGTAATGTTTCAATTTATGGTGGTAATTTGGATTTTTTATAGAAGTCTAGAAGTAAAGGCTCCTTAAATTCTGATTTATAATTGCTAATTTTGCTTTGATAAAAATTGTAATACACCCAGTCACATCTAAAAAAAAATAAAGGCACCCATCCCAATGATTTTTGACCATGTTTGCCAGTTCAGTTTGTCCAGTAGTTAATCAAGACGCTATAACTAGTGACAGATCACTGAGTATCCAGTTCATAAGCTGTTTGTTAGAAACTTAAATTAACTTGCAAAGTTCGTTTAATTCATGTGATCATATTCAGATGCTTGGCAACTGACTCATATTTATGACGGTTGCATTGTCTCTGGGTCTTGTAATAACTTTTTGTGACCTTCTGCAAGCAAAGTCAATGGGAAACCAGATTCACTTAACAATTATGTTACTAACTAAACGACTACAGTAGTTCACTTAACAACGTTGGCAAAAAGATAGTAAAATGAGGCAAAATTTGCTTAACCAATGTCTCCCTTAGGAATAGAAATTTTGGGACCAATTGCAATCATAAGTGAAAGATTACATGTAATAAATAAACTAGCTTTTGGCAATTTCTATAGAAATGATAAGAGTTGTAGTGAGAGGCGGGGCTTGACGTCGCAACGATACAACATGCAATCTTGGGGCTCCAGGATTGCTGTCAATATCTCTGTTCCTGGACGGTCCTTTTGGACCTAAACTGTTCTGAAGGAACAATGGTAGAAAAGAGCATGTCCTGCTGATCTCAGGGACATTGCAAAGTCCCTGATTGATCCAGGAGAAAGCTCTTTTTGCCAGCTACAAGAGAAACAGCCAAAATGGCTGAAGAAGATTGGGGCAAGCCCCTGAAACAGAAGCAGTGCAGGAGAGACAGTGTGTCGAAATGGTGAGAAAATGTTTTCTCACCATTTGGGAAAACCCAAAAGACTTGGAGTTTAAAATAAAATTGAAGACAGAAGAAAATAAGTGGTGGATTAACCCTGGTTTAAAACTATCTTTTCTACCTTAACTTTGTTTTCTATGGATGGACTTTTTACAAATGCCTCTTACTTTTACACTGGACTGGTCTCTTTTTTCCTTCTTCCTCTATACTTTCCATTTTTTGTATTCATAGATTAAAAGTTTCTTCTCTCGTAAGGCTTGGTCGGAGCATAATTTTTAAACATTTTCCCCCCTCTTATGGACCCTGGAGTTTACACAGAGAGGCAAAAACAGATGGAAAAGAGGTAACACTGCCATCTATTGGCTAGAGGCTTGGCAATATCTGATATTACAAAGTATAGGCTTTGTTTACGGAAAGGCTCAGTGAAAAACATTTTGTTTATACTTTTCTTATGTTCCTTTGAAGGAAAGAGAAAGCTTTGATTTGAAAAACTCCACTGGATTTGTTTGAAACCTAAAAAGTCTTGGATGTTTTGGCAGTGTTTATAACCTGGAAAATGGCACAATGTGAAGAAGAAAAGGCACTAACTTTGCAAAGAATTTTCTTAGAAATTCAAAAAGTTTAAATAATTACAGATCAAAATACAGAAAGCACGGTGACAATGATGAAGTTTGAGGACAGAGCTCAAAAAATCACAGAGACATATGAAAGTGATAAGAAAATTGTTGACACTGACAGCAGACTGAAAGTGGAGGGAAATGACAAGTGTGAAATATGGAAAGGAGAGATCGATGAACCGGAACTTTATTTCAGATGTCAGAATATAAATGAAGAAAGGAGAGAAAATTTGGCAGAAATAATTAGAGTAATCTCGACAGAAGCACTAATGATAACAAAAGTTAAGCTGGTAAAAGGAGCAGATAGAGGGTTTCAAATCCTTATGACACATGCAATGAACAACAAGTTCTTAAGAGAAGTCCACTTATCAAGAAAACACTTAGAATACAGACTTTACAAATGGCAAGAGATATTGGACTACACTATTTCTGGAAGGATATAGGATGATGAAATGAAATGTCACAATAAAATTTAGTGAAATGTAGTTACATTTTGAGTGCTATATACAATGTAATAATAGCTATAGTCAAATAAATGATTAAAAATGATAAAGCATTTGTATATACTAGATTGATAATACGAAATTTTATACAAACTGTAAGTGAGGATTATGGAGATGATGTTCAAAAGCCTTTGATAAACAATTCTATATAGAATAGAATATAAAGATGTAATATCATTGGATGATTTCAGGATGATGTAATGAAATGCCATAGTATAAATTTACTTCAAATTTAATATGCTTTATGTTGAAAGGATGTAATAATGGCTTAATGGATGTTTAATAATTATAACAATTTGTATACATGTATATTAGGTTGATGATACTAATAATGGGTAAAAACATGTAATTGAAAATTATTAGAATGTTATCAATGCTAAAATAATAGAATGACTTAGAATAGGATTAAAAAAACTTATTGGATATATTGAAGATGATATAAGATGAATCATTATATTAATGGTTATATATTTAGAATACCTTGTCTAAAATGAAGAAACAATAGTGATAATCAAACAAAGGAAGCATAATAACAATGTATACAGAGATACCTTGATTGACAATATGTGAATTTTGATAAAATTGAAGTGATGACTATGGAAAGAAAGACCTTGTAATCAATCGACACGCTGTATGTAGTTGAAGAGGCTTTTATGTTATATGTGTTGTGTGTTTGTGTTTGTTTGAAAATAAAAGAATATTTAAAAAAAAGTTGCAGTGAAATCCACAGAGTTGGAAATCTTATCCTAAACAAAAGGGCATTCCTTCGTAAGGATAATGGAAAATTAGGTGCTGCCTAACAATAAATTGTGAATTAAAAATGATACCCATTACTTCCATTGTTGTTAATTACGAAGTCGTGTCTGACCCATCGTGACCCTATGGACAATGTTTCTCCAGGCTTTCGTGTCCTCTACCATCCTCTGGAGTCCATTTAAGCTCATTACTGCCATTACTGCAAGCAAAATAAGACTTTGCATTTTGGAGATACTACTACATCAAATAATAAAATTTTATAGCATTACCAAGTAATTTGGAAAACTTTTCAAAGCAGGAAAAAAAAACCAGTAGGTCAGTGGTGGAAAACAAAATATTAATGATACAGTTCCAGAGGATTGAAGGGCCAAAATATAATTTAGGTACAGCTGGCTCTTCTATTTTTCGGGGGTGGGGGGGGAGAAACACTGTTAATCTGGCAATACTAAGATATGGTTTAATTCTTTATGCAAAAATATGACTTGTGCTCGTTAGCATGTTTGGCTGTAGGGATAATGAAGGGTTCTACATTATTACAATGTAGAGGCCTCTTGTATATTCCTACTCATTTTAAATGTATCAAATATGTGCTGAGCAAAGTTTGCAGTTTTCCCATAAGACATAGCATGCTTTCTGAAGCCAACTTTTGTTTTGGGGAATTTTTTTACACTCGGCGCTGTGTTTTTCCCGAAGATTGCTGAAGATGGCACCTGCAGTAATATCACTTTGGTAGTAGATACTGTGTAATGAAGGCACCGAAGCTCTGTCCTGGGTGCTGAATATCTTTTGAAGGCCAGATGCTTGACATGAAATGCGGGGTGGGGGAGACCTACTAGTTTTACATCGATTTCCAGATCACACTGTGAGTGAAAAACGGTGTAAACCTATCATTTGACAACTTTTAACATTAATAATAATTCTGACTAGTTTTTGCAAGAATAAGCTTACTGTAGGAAGAAAATGAGAAGCAACAGGCTGCCATCAAACAGTTGTGGCAGTGTTTATTATTTTCTTCTTTGGGATTACTTTCCAGAAAAATGAGCTGAAGTATTTTATTAATACAAACAGAAATGTTATTGGTGGATTGCGGGGAGTGAAAGAGAGAGAGAGATATGATAAAGGTAGATGTGTAATTTGCAGAGCTAGAAGGGCAATATTTTCAAACATCTGCTGATATATTGTTCTGTTCAGCATATTTTATGCACACGGAGAGACAGTTCAAGTGAACTAGTAAGATGAATATTGATGTTGTGTTACAGTTGTGTGGCTATTTAATGCTATTTTATCTTTTGAATTTACATACAAAGTTTCCCTAGCTATTGCCCCCCTGCCCTGCCCCTCACCCCACTCCCAACATGGACTGCCAACCCAACCATATTGAGAGAAACCGCTTTATCCATTCCTTCGCTATATTGGTCCACGCTGTGGGCACAATCCTCATTTATCAATGTGTTTCTGTTTTCTTTTTCCTCCAAAGCTGGAGATGCCGATGATCCACCAAGAATTACCCCAAATCCAGTCATCAATGGGAATGTAGCCATGGCTGATGGTCACAATAACACAGAAGAAGACATGGAAGATGGTGAGTTAATTTGCTCTCAGGTTGGTGGCGACTGGAAAGCTGCCTTTGTTTTCTTCAGCAAGTGGTCCCCGAGGGTTTGATAATGCTAATTATGAACACCTATCTAGGGAAGAAAACTTCTGAAACATTTGAGACAAAGCTTGTAGCGGATAAAACGGATAAAGATCGTTTTCTTCCTCTTTCATAACTCAGAATTATTAAATTAAATTAATACAGGACAGAGAAAGCAAAATATTTCCCTACATGGATAAACAATTTGGAGGATTCATTGCTAATTGTCATGGGCTGTGTGAATAATTGCTTCATTTTATCTATTCTGAATCTCTGAACCCAGAATCTAGGATTTCTCTCTTGTTACCCAACAAGCCCCCCCCCCCCCTTTTTCATTTCAAAAGGCTAAGAAACTGCAAACACACCCATTTCAAAAGGCATGGGATGTTTAAGGATTACAATAGTAAACACATGCACTTGTGCGCTCCAAAAACTGCCAATTGTTCTGACATACCATAAAAGCCAGTCCCCAGATGGTAAGATACATCTGCCTGACAAAGAATTGCTTTGATTGCAGGATGGGGGGGTTGTCCAAACTCAGCAACATTAAGACTTGTGGACTTCAACTCCCAGAATTCCTCAGCCAGCCATATGGCTGAGGAATTCTGGGAGTTGAAGTCCACAAGTCTTCCCGTTGCCGAGTTTGGAGACACCCCCCCCTGCTCTTGATTGATAGAAGTTTTGGACAGATGGCTGGACCAACGTCTGGACCAAAGTTTTGAGAGATGGTTCAGCCATCTCTCAAAACTTACTCTTGAGTTCTGCTGCGTGCTTTGCTTCTCTTACGTGTACTATCAACATGCACAGGCAAAAGCAGGAGTGAGTTTTGACAGCATTTATGTTCCCTATGCCATCCTTCTGGTAAACTCGCAAGATTTGTTTTCTTGCAGTGTACATGTATGACCTAGACTGTCTGGCTGTCTTGTCTGTCTGTCTACCTAATTTAGATACTGACCATCAGGCTCTTAGAGTGACTCTTCTCTAAAGACATTTTAAAAAACCGTATAGAAGTGCAATAAAAGAGCCAATTTTAAAATAATCAAGGTGGTTTTTTAAAAATCAAAAGCAGATGAATATCGAGTAATTTATTTAACTCATTTAAGGACCATTGAAGTGGGAGTGGGCTTGAATTGCCTTGGCCTGAATTCATCTGCACTGCGCTGCCCTGAGTCCTCTCGGCTGAGGAATGTGAAACTTAAATCACCAGGGGTGAACGGTTCCCAGTCATCTTTCTGCTCATTTCTTCTGCATGTTATTTGATGATGTTTATAACTTGATCTGTTATTTGGACAGGAGGTGATAGGGCTGGGACCTCAGGCACTTGAATGAGCTTTCTGCTAAATGAAAGTCTGTGGGGAACCATTTTTGGACCTTTGTCACACAGGTTTTCTTAAAACATAAGCCACAGTCAACCACAAAGGATGCACCGAGCAGATTTTAGTGAGAATAGCACCTTTTGACTTCCAAAAAGAGAAACCTGAGCAGAAGAAGCAGCCACATCCTTTCTCATTAAAATTAACACAACTTGGGTTCACATGTCGTACTAAGCCAAAATCATGTTTTGTTGCATCTGAGTTAGAGCAATGTGTGGATTCTCTTGTGCTTTGTAAATTGTAGTTTATGTTTTAATGTTATATAGAGCATGGGTAGTCTAGTGAAGAGAAGGACCAGGGGAGACATGAGAGGAGTCTTCCAATATTTGAGGGGCTGCCACAGAGAGGAGGGGGTCAAACTATTCTCCAAAGCACCCGAAGGCTGGACAAGGAATAATGGATGGATGGAATAATGGATGGAAGCTCCCACAACTTCCGAAGGCAACTTCTGTTCCATTGGTTGCTTGTTCTCATTGTCGGAAAGTTCTTCCTTATTTCCAGGTTGAATCTCTCCTTGCTCAGTTTCCATCCATTATTCCTTCTCTGGCCTTCAGGTGCTTTGGAGAATAGCTTGACCCCCTCCTCTCTGGGGCAGCCCCTCAAATATTGGAAGGCTNTTCATTCTCTGGCCTTCAGGTGCTTTGGAGAATAGCTTGACCCCCTCCTCTCTGGGGCAGCCCCTCAAATATTGGAAGGCTTCTATCCTGTCTCCCCTGGTCCTTCTCTTCCCTAGACTAGCCAGGCCCTGTTCCTGCAACCATTCTTCGTATGTTTTAGCCTCCAATCCCCTCATCATCCTGGTTGCTCTTCTCTACACTCTTTCCAGAGTCTCAACATGCTTTTTATAGCATGGTGATCAAACTGGATGCAGTACTCTAGGTGTGGTCTCACTAAGGCTTTATAGAGTGGTATTAGTACCTCCCTTGGTCTTGATTGTATCCCACTGTTAATGTAACTTAGTGTCTGTGCCAGAGGAAGGCGCTGCTGGTTAGTTGAGATTCAGCATCTTTTCAGCCCTGAGAAATCAACCAAGTGTTACCTCTATTCAAACAATTGGGTGAAGAGTGGGGAATGAAAGCTGCAAATCACTGAGAGGATAATGGCAGCCTACTCTGAATATCCAGTCAACTGATCCTGTTGATTACATGTAGATATTGAACAATATGGGGATTAGACGGAATTTCTTTGCTGAAAAGTTGAGGAGATGCACAATACCTTCTGAATTCTGCAGCCAGCTTCTAAGGTTCACTTTCATGTTTGGAAAGTAATGGAACTACAGCAGAAAACCGATCCACAGCCTAATTGAAAACTTCACTATAGGCCATTGATTGATTGATTGATTAAATTTATAGGTTGCCCATCTTACCTGGGCAGCTTACAATCATGCTTGAAACCCATTGTGAAACAATTCATTTTACAATTGTTTTTTTGATGGAGACTCTTATTTGATTAAGTATTCACCAATGGGGTCAAGCCAAGGAGAAGGCAGTAATTTTTCTCTCTCCCCCGCTGTATATGATTGGTCTTTTTTTTTCTGTACAGATAGTCTTTCACCTACATTGGGCATCCCATGACTGACCTCATTTCATGACATTTTTTGCAAGGGTAGTTAAATGAATCACCATGGTAAATTCCTAGTCATTAAGCCCACCAATTGTCTGTAGTAGACATTTTGTGGCTGGAAACAGAAGCAAACTCTTTTTTTTCCCTGTGCAAAAAAACCCATTGTAAACCACTGTCACGGGACCATGGGATGTGGCAAATGGCCGCTGTGAAACTAGGTCAGTTGCCAAGTGCCCAAAATGTGATAATGTGACTGCAGGGACCCTGCAATAGCCCTTAGACTTCTATACCGCTTCACAGTGCTTTAGAACCTTCTCTGAGCGGTTTCAGAGTTAGCCTATTCCCTCAACAATCTGCAATCTCATTTTACTGACCTCAGAAGGATAGAAGGCTGAGTCAGCCTTGAGCTGGTCAGAATCGAACCCCTGGTAGGCAGCAGAACTAATCTGCAATACTGCATTCTAACCACTGAACCATGGGAGGTAGAGGGATGCTAGATAGAAAGATGAAGAGCAATAGCACTTTGACTTATATACCTCTTCATAGTGCTTTTACAGCCCTCTCTAAGCGGTTTACAGAGTCACCCCCTTGCCCCCAACAATCTGGGTCCTCGTTTTACTGACTTCAGAAGGATTGGAGGCTGAGTGAGTCAACCTTGAGCCAGTCAGGCTCAAATTGCTGACAGTCGGCAGAATTAGCCTGCAATGCTGCCTTCTAACCACTGCGCCACCACAGCTTATTATACGTACCATTTGTTCTTAACTTTGGATGGTCACAAGCGACAGGTCACAATTCAAGGACTACCTGTACCAGTGATGTAAACTCTCGTTGGAGACCCACAGACAAGATTGCAGACTCGGAAATGGTTTTTCCCTTATTTTGCAGACACAAGCTGGCGGTCAGAAGCGACGTTTCAGTTCACAGTTGAGCGTTTCAACCGGCTGAGTGAATCGGTCCTAAGCCCCCCTTGTTTCGTGCGGAACCTTCCCTGGAAGATCATGGTGATGCCACGCCTTTACCCAGACAGGCCACACCAAAAAAGCGTAGGATTCTTTCTTCAGTGCAACGCTGAGTCGGATTCCACGTAAGTCCTGTTATGCATGGATACACGGAACCTCTCTTGAATGCAGTGCCTTAACATTTTCTGCATGGGGATATGTTGCCTGATAGGAGATAATGCCTCCAGCCTGGGGCATCATCTGGCAGAGGCCGAATGGAAACAGTACAGTAGATGTGCATTTATTCAGAGGATTTACTTCGATGAAGATTCACAGTCATCCAGCTAGAGTTGTCTGGAAGTTGAGTCATGGCAACCAGAGTTCTTTCCCTTTTGGTTGGAAACGTTTTCCTGCTTTATCCAAGTAGATCCAAGAAGAAGCTACTTTGATGAGCCGTGAAACGTTTCCAACCAAAAAGAAGTCCAGTTGTCGTGACTCAACTTCTAGACACACACACAGGACTTGTTTGTCACTTCTGAAAGTTGGATGTTGTCTGCAGTGTTGGTAGCCTCAGAAGACATAATGAGAACAGTGACCTGTTTCAATCCAGACCACTGTTTCTCAACCTTTGGCAACTTGAAGTTGCGTGGACTTCAACTCCCAGAATTCCCCAGCCAGCTTTCAAGGAACTTTCAAAAGTTTTTGAGGAGTTATGTTACTGCTTGAAAGGAGTAATATTTTTAACCATCTACAGAAGAAAATAATCAAATGAAATGGAAAATTTATGTGAGAAGCAACATTTTTTTTAAAAAAATGAAATAAAACAATCAGCTTTGTTAAAAGGAGAAGCTTTTTATAATTTTTTTCCAGGATAATAATGGGTACCACTCCTGGGAGGTTACCGAAAGAAAGTTTTAAATCCAGGAGTGACAAGAAATGAAGAGGCTTGCTCGGTAAAACCTAATTTATGAGTAGTGGCTTTTCTGCAACACAATGTGTCAAGTGTTATCTCTCTAATTGTTGCAGGTCATGGTCTTGCCATGCGCAGGCAGTCCTCAAGATCATAAATTACAAGGACGATGAAAAATCTTTCAGTCGCCGCATCAGCCATTTATTCTTTCATAAGGAAAACGACTGGGGCTTTTCCAATTTTATGTCTTGGAGTGTAAGTAACTGCTTGCCACTGGGGGGGGGGTATGGCATGTTAGATGGGGACTAGGGCAGTTGGCCATAGCCAACTTGATGCAGCGAATTCCCCATGGGACAAGAGGTGCAATATCGAAGAAATGGTGGAATAGAATCACTATTTAATCATCATTCTTTTAAAAAAAGGATGCCAAAGAAGGGACAAAATGAAATGTGAATGACAAGAATTAAAATATTTAAATAATTAAATTATTTTAAATAATTAATTTCAATTGGCCTGCGGCGAGTTGTCCCATTCTGGGATGAACACATCGCAACCCTGGTTGAAGTGGCGTTGTGTGTAGCTTGGCTGCCTTATCTTCTCTCCCTCCCCTCTTAGCCTAAAGTAATTTTTTTCGGAACTTTTTTTGTGAGTGAAACCTTCACAATTTGGAAATCCTTGGCCTCAAATTGCAGGACAACCGAGCTGGATCTTATGAGCCTCATTAAGGCATCCTGAGATGCAAAGCCCAAAAACTAATTTTGTGTTCACTAAGAACCTTCTCAGCTCTCTAAATCAGGAAGAGACAAGAAGCTGCTTCAGGTGCTATAATTGAAGATGTGGGTCTGTACCCTCCACCCCTCCAGTCCCCTTTGCCTCCCAGTTAATTGTGTTTGCAGTTGTCAAGCTGTCAATGTCTTCTATTGATTCCTAGAAATGGGCATCTGGTGACAGCTTGAGATGTCCCCGTATCATTTGAGCTCGGTGGTAAAAATTGATATGTGTTTATCTTGACTTGAGCTTCAGATTGAAACATGACCTTTCAAGAATGGCAAGGCCCAACAGATTATTGCATCTGGTTTTGATGTTCTTGATTCAATTTTTTCCTCCTCTCCTTTTCTTTTTGGTAGGAAGTTACTGATCTAGATAAAGGCTACATAGAAGATGACAAAGTCACTTTTGAAGTTTATGTTCAAGCTGATGCTCCTCATGGTGTGGCGTAAGTAGCCTTTGCTCTTTTTTCTTTTCTTGGAGGGGGGGAAAGTAGCTTGGGGAGAAAGTAGCTTGATTCACTTTTTCCTTTGCAGTCCCCCCCCCCTTTCAGACTTGTGAGCTATTTCTAAGAAATATTAGTTTCTTTAAATGTGGGATTAATAGAGGAAAAACTCAAATTTTTCTACCTTAAATCTCTTTCACCAAGTCAAAGACCTACTCCTTCTCACGTGTAATCCTTGCCTAATACATTGGTTAGCAAGATTTAACAAACAATCTCTGCCATGTTTACGATTTTCTTCTAAGGAACTGACATAAAATGGAAAGAGGAGGGATTATAATTATAGGATCTTCCTTCCAATGGAGTTGGTTTCTTGGAAAGGTTCAGGTTCTTCTAGGAAACACACACACACACACACACACACCACAGGAATCTGCATACCATCTAGACCAGTGTTTCTCAACCATGGCGACTTTAAGTCCTGTGGACTTCAACTCCCAGAATCCCCCAGCCAGTTGGCTGGGGGATTCTGGGAATTAAAGTCCACAGGGCTTAAAGTCTCCACAGTTGAGAAACACTGATGTAGACAAATTACTGTTCAATGTTTTCCTGAAAACCTCCAGTGATGAAACATCCCCAACTTCCGAATGTAAGTTTTTGTGAGAGGTTCCTCAGCTTGGTAATCCCTCACAGGGTTTCTTTCTTCATCTTGGAGGAAGGGACATTTTCCGAAAGTAGAGAGTCCTTTTGTTAATTGCTTTCAAAATCAAGAAATGAATCTTTTGATCCTTCCCAGGGTTTTAGTGAACAGGGTCTTGGGTGGAGAAATAGATTCTGTTGTGGCCGCCAGCCCCTCCAACAGCCGAATCAGATGAAGAGGAGGCGTGGGAGTCAGGGTGAACATCAAGGCAACTTCAAAGCTTTGAGGGGGAGGAGGGAATGGAGCTGGCAGAGCGAGAGAGGCAGAGGCAGAGCCTGGGCCGTCTGTCATCCCTCAGATAAAGAGTCAACAGTCCCCAGGTATGGAGGTGGGTGAAGAGGAAGAGGAGGAACAGCTGGTCCAGTGCCTAATGCACGGATTTGCAGAAGGCAGAGGAGAGGAGAGCAGGAAATCCTTGGGCCGGTCCTTGGGATGGAAGAGCCACTGCTGCTAGTGAAGCCCCTCCCTATTTTGGGGGATAAAAGACAGCAGGTGGAGATGAATAGATGTGGCAGACAACTATCTCCCGGCTGGACAGACTTGTTAGCCTGCAAGAGAAACTTTTTTTTACCAGGGCTGCTGGCGCTTTTAATAAAGGAATCATTGATTTAACAACAGAGGGTTTGTCGTGTTTGGGGAGGTGGGTCAGAAGCGATTCCTCTATAAAGGTAATCCTCGATTTACGACTTAAACTGAGCCCAAAGTTTCTGTTGCTATGCAAGACGTGTTAAATGGATTTTGCTCCATTTTGCAACCTTTCTTGCCACCATTAAGTGAATCACTGCAGTTGTTAAGCTAGTAACACGGTTGTTAAGTGAATTTGGCTTCTTCCCCAGTGACTTTGCTCATCAGAAGGTTGCAAAAGGAGCTCACATAACTCTGGGACACTGCAACTGTCACAAAAATCTGATAAATAGCTGAATGTTGATCGTGTGACCCTGGGGATGCTGCAATGGTCATAAGTGTGAGAAACAGCCGCCAGTCCCTTTTTTCCAGTGCCGTTATAACTTTGAACAGTCACTAAATGTGTAAGGACTACCTGGACTGTATAACATTTGCACCATGCTGAAAAACCTGTGTTGTATTCCAAGACAGTTAGAAGTTCTACATTGATGGCTTTAAAACACTGCAATGTCTGCTCCCCTGCCCTCAAATCTTTGCCAAGTTTTTTTTTAAAGAAGGCCAATAAAAATTGCACTGAACAATGAAATGCTTGAGCATTCTTCTGATGCTAATCAGAATAGAATAGAATGGGACCTTGGAAGCCTTCTAGTCCAGCCCCCTGCTCCAGCAGGAGAATCTATTCAATCTCAGACAAGTGACTGTCCAGTCTCTCTTAAAAACCTCCAGTGATGGAGCACCCATGATTTCTAAAGGGAAGCTGTTCCACTGGTTAATTGTCCTCAATGTTGAGAAGTTTCTCCTTAATTCCAGGTTGCTTCTCTCTTTGATTAGTTTCCATCTGTTGTTTCTTGTTTTAACTCTTCCTCTTTGTGGCAGCCCCTGAAATACTGGAATACTGCTATCATGTCACCCCTAATTCTTTTTTCCTTTAGACTAGCCAGACTCAGAACCTTCGCTTTCTCCACAATTTCCCTTGCAACTGAGATTTGCATGTAGTTTTCCCTGTCATCCTTGCTGATCTCGAGACACATTGGTATCCCTCACCCCACCCCACTCCGTGCTTTCACTCTGGCTGTTCGGGGAGGTTGATAGAACTGAGTTCAAAGTACCCTGTGAAAACTGCAGGCCCCTTAATGTAGGAGCTTATGTGATGGATAACCAGGGAAGAATCTCTTCTTATTCAGATCAGTTTGTCTACACATGAATTAATCCTCTTCCTTTCTCCACAGGAAGTGGTTGTACAGATAGTCCTCCACTTACAATAGTTATTTAGTGACCGAAGTTACGTTGGCCCTGAAAAAATGTGACTTGTGGCCATTTTTCTTAGCAATAGCACTTAGACTTATATACTGCTTCACGGTGCTTTTACAGCCCTCTCTAAGCGGTTTACAGAGTCAGCCTCTTGCCCCCAACAATCTGAGTCCTCATTTTGCCCACCTCGAAAGGATGGAAGGCTGAGTCAACCTTGAGCTGGGATGGATGGATGGGGAGGGGAAGGAGGAAGGAAGGAAGGAAAATATCAATAGCACTTAGACTTATATGCCGCTTCACAGTGCTTTTACATCCCTCTCTAAGTGGTTTACAGGGTCACCATCTTGCCCCCAACAATCTCTCCTCATTTTACCCATCTTGGAAGGATGGAAGGCTGAGTCAACCTTGTGTCGTCAGGATCGAACTCCTGGCAGTGATCAGAGTTTAGCCTGCAATACTGGATTCTAACCACTGGGAGGGAAGGAAAGAAGGAAAATAGCAATGGCATTCAGACTTATATACCACTTCACAGTGCTTTTACAACCTTCTCTAAGTGGTTTACAGAGCCAGCCTATTGCCCCCCAATAATCTGGGTCCTCATTTTACTGACCTCAGAAGGTTGAATCAACCTTGAGCTGGCCAGGATCGAACAGCAGAACTGCTGGCAATCAGCAGAATTAGCTTGCAAGTACGGTCTTCTATCCACTGAGCCATCACGGCACTTATGACCACTGCCACATCCCCAGGGTCACATGATCAAAATTCAGATGCTTGGCAACTGGTATCATATTTATGACGGTTGCAGTGTCTCAGGTCATGCGATCCCCTTTTGTGGCCTTTTGACGAGCAAAGTTGATAGGGAAGCCAGGTTCACTTTACAACCTTGTGACTAACTTAGCAATCGCAGTGATCTTCTTAGCCAATGTCTCACTTAGCAACAGAAATTTTGGCTCAGTTGTGGTTGCAAGTCAAGGATTACCTGTATTGTAGAATTGGTATAGACTTGGTTGCTGATCATAAATTTGAGCGGTATAGTCAATAATTCAGTTTCGGACAAATCATTTCACAGAGGCGTAGCTTTTAAGCAGCTTTCATTTTTCAGATACATGACTTTTTCTTTGGAAATTGCTCCATCTTTGTTTTTAATTTCTCTCTTTGTTATGGTTGCTTTGTTCCCAGTCTTGAAAAGATTTCAGAATTCTGAACATGTGTACAGTTATCCTAATTGCTGCATAACAGATGCGCGATTTGCTGACAGTTCAATTTGAATCAGCTGGATTTCAGTGATGGAAACCAAGCTTCTAGCTTGATTTCTGTGTTTTTGTGTGTGTGTGTGTGTGTGTGTGCAAAATGTGTGGAGGCCCAATTCTAATACCCTAATTCTTTGAATATTCCAGATGGGACTCCAAGAAGCACACAGGATATGTGGG